GGGCTTGTTCAGCCTGGAGAAAAGGAGGCTCAGGGGTGACCTTATTGCTCTCTATTAAGTACATTAAAGGAGGCTGTAGCGAGGTGGGGGTTAGTCTGTTCTCCCACGTGCCTGGTGACAGGATGTGGGGGAATGGGCTAAAGTTGCACCAGGGGAGTTTTAGGTTGGATGTTAGCAAGAACTTCTTCACCGAAAGGGTTGTTAGACATTGGAACGGGCTGCCCAGGGAAGTGGTGGAGTCACCATCCCTGGAGGTCTTTAAAAGATGTTTAGATGTAGAGCTTAGGGATATGGTTTAGTGGAGGACTGTTTGTATTAGGTCAGAGGTTGGACTCGATGATCTTGAGGTCTCTTCCAACCTAGAAATTCTGTGATTCTGTGATCCTCATGGGGGACTTCAATTACCCTGACATCTGCTGGGTAAGCAACTCGACCAGGCACGAGTAGTCCAAACAGTTCCTACAATGTGTTGAGGACAATTTTCTGACACAGGTGGTGGAGAAGCCGACAAGGCGTGGCGTGCTCCTGGACCTCGTTCTTACCAACAGGGATGGCCTTGTTAGTGATGTGAAGGTTGGGGGCAGCTTGGGATGCAGCGACCGTGAGATGGTGGCGTTCCAGATGGAACTAGGCAAAGGAAGCAAGGCTAAAAGCAGGATTGCTACCCTGGACTTCCGAAGAGCCAACTTCGACCTCTTCCGGGACCTGCTTGGGAGTATGTCATGGGATAGGTTGCTAGAAGGCAAGGGTACTTGTGAGAGCTGGGCTACATTTAAGCAGCACTTCTTCCATGCTCAGGATCGGTGCATCCCGAGGAATAGGAAATCGGGGAAGGGGGGCAGGAAACCCATGTGGATGAGCAAGGAGCTCATCAATAAGATCAAAAGGAAGAGGATGGTCTATGAAATGTGGAAAAAGGGCTTGTCCTCTTGGGAGGAGTATAGATTTGTTGTCAGGGTCTGCAGGGATGTGACGAGGAAAGCTAAAGCCCACCTAGAGATGAGGCTTGCTAAAGAGATAAAGGATAATAAGAAAGGTTTTTTCAAGTATGTAAACAGCAAGAGGAAGACTAGGGATAATGTGGGTCCCTTGCTGAATGAGGGGGGTGTCCTGGTCACGGGAGACGCTGAGAAGGCAGAGATACTGAATGTTTTCTTTGCTTCCGTCTTTGTTTCAAGGACACTTCCCCGGGACTCCTCGCCCCTGGCAATAGGACAAAGGGTCTGGGAAATGGAGTGCTCCCCCCTGGTAGACATGGGAGTGTCTGAGTGGGCTCAACACACATAAATCCATGGGTCCTGATGGGATGCATCCGCATGAGCTGGCAGATGTGATCACCAAATCGCTCTCTATCATCTTTGAAAGGTCTTGGAGAATGGGTGAGGTGAATGAAGACTGGAGGATAGCCAATGCCACTCTGGTCTTCAAGAAGGGCAGGAAGGAGGATCCGGGAAACTACAGGCCAGTCACTCTCACCTCTGTCCCTGGAAAGATATTGGAACAGCTTGTTCTGGATGCCATCTCCAAGCAATTGGAAGAGAAGAAGGTCATGAGGAGTAGTCAGCATGGATTCACCAAGGAGAAGTCGTGCTCGACCAACCTCATTGCCTTCTATGATGGCATCACCAGCTGGGTAGATGAGGGGAGAGCAGTGGATGGCATCTACCTGGACTTTATCAAGGCTTTTGATACTGTCTCCCATGACATCCTGATAGCAAAGCTGAGAAAGTGTGGGATAGAGGAGTGGACAGCAAGGTGGGTTGAGAACTGGCTGACTGTCCGAACTCAGAGGGTGGTGATCGGTGGCGCAGAGTCCAGCTGGAGACCTGTGACTAGCGGTGTTCCCCAGGGGTCAGTCCTGGGTCCAGTCTTGTTCAGCATCTTCATCGATGACCTTGATGAAGGAATAGTGTCTGCCCTCAGCAAGTACGCTGATGACACAAAGCTGGGAGGAGTGGCTGACACACCAGAAGGCTGTGCTGCCATTCAGCTAGACCTGGACAGGCTGGAGAGATGGGCAGGAAGAAACCAAATGAGATTTAATAAGAGCAAGTGTTGAGTCCTGCACCTGGGAAGGAACAACCACACGTATCAGTAGAGGCTGGGGGACAACCTGCTGGAGAGGAGCTCTGAGGAGAAGGACCTGGGGGTCCTGGTGGATGACAGGTTGACCATGAGCCAGCAGTGTGCCCTCGTGGCCAAGAGGGCCAATGGGATCCTGGCGTGCATTAAAAGGAGTGTGGCCAGCAGGTCAAGGGAGGTGATCCACCCCCTCTACTCTACCCTGGTCAGGCCTCACCTGGAGTACTGTGTCCAGTTCTGGGCTCCCCGGTACAAGAAAGACAGGGATCTCCTGGAAAGAGTCCAGCGGAGGGCCACAAAGATGGTATAGGGCCTGGAGCATCTTTCCTATGAGGAAAGGCTGAGAGACCTGGGTCTGTTCAGCCTGGAGAAAAGAAGACTGACAGGGGATCTCATCAGTGTGTACAAATACCTGAGGTGTGAGGGACAGAGGGATTTGGCCAACCTCTTTTCAGTGGTTTGCAGGGACAGGACAAGGAGTAATGGTCACAAGAAGGAAATTGGCACAGGAAGTTCCGCACCAACATGCGAACAAACTTCTTCATGGTGAGGGTAACGGAGTGCTGCAACAGGCTGCCCAGGGAGGCTGTGGAGTCTCCTTCTCTGGAGATATTCAAGGCCCGTCTGGACACTGTCCTGGTTTCAGTTAGAACAGAATTAATTTTCTTCCTAGTAGCTGGTGGAATGCTGTGTTTTGGCTTAGGATGAGAAGAGTGCTGATAACACCCCGATGCTTTAATTGTTGCAGAGCAGTGCTTACACCAAGCCAAGGACGTCTCAGCCTTTTGCTCTGTCCTGCCAACAGGCAGGCTGGGGGTGCAGTAAGAGCTGGGAGGGGACAGACCCAGGACAGGTGACCCAAACTAGCCAAAGGGGTATTCCATACCATCTGACGTCATGCTAAACAATATATAGGGGTGGCTAGCCGGGGGGAGGGGGCCGGACTGCTCGGGGTTAAGCTGGGCATCGGTCAGCGAGTGGTGAGCAATTGCATTGTGCATCACTTGTTTGTACATATTATTATTTTTTCCCTATTATCACCATTGTATTATTATTGTTGTTATTATTTTGTTATTATTATTTTCCTGTCTTATTAAACTGTCTTTATCTCAACTTACGGGCTTCACTTTCCATTTCTCTCCCCTGTCCCAGAGAGGGAGGGGGGAGGGTGAGTGAACGGCTGCGTGGTGTTTAGCTGCCGGCCGGGTAAAACCACGACAACACCTACCTGGGTAGGCTACTGTAAGGAACCTGCTTTGGCAGGGGGGTTGGACATGGTGATCTTTCAAGGTCCCTTCCAGCCCCTTCAGTTCTGTGATTCTGTGAGTCCGTGATATTCCTGGCTTGCCAACAGTGCGGATTCCCAATGTTACCATGGTGATCACCTATGTAATGTTACTACCACTTTTCACAACAGCTCAATTTAAGATTCAAGTTGAATATTTCCATGATTATGGGAGGGTAATTATTTCATTACTCAAGGGAAGAAGATTTAGGAGGTAAATAGCTCTTCATTAGTTCTTAAATGATTTCCCTAGTCTTTTTAGGCCACAGAAATGCCAAATATTAAAGTGACAAAAACAAGCAGTCAAATTCTCATCCCCTTGTTCATTCTAACTACCTCTAAGGCCCTATTTGAGCAGCCAAGGTAGTCAGAATATCTCTAGCCATTAAATGCACTTGAAACTTGGAGCCCTTTGGTGTAGGGCTCAGTCTTCAAAGATGCTCAGTTTTTCAAAGGTGCAATAGTTGGAGTCAGGAAAAGTTGCAGTTCGGATCACTGACAGCCTGAGGTAACTGACTGAAAAATCACACCAATAAGGGCATGGGAGTAAAGCTCCCAAAGTTCAGGCCCATGACTTTAGATTTTCTTCCTTGCTTTGACTACAGATGTCTTTCATGGCTAGTGCAAATCAGAGACCATTTTCTGCTTTTCTTTTTCTCATTTATTTTTCTTCACAAGCTGAAGAACCAGTAACTTTGAGTACAGAGTGACTCTGTGGGGACTCTCAATGCTATGTGCTGTTGGTGGCAATCTGTTACATACTTTGAGGACTTAATCGCACATTTTGATTGAACGAAACCATATATTTTTAATTAGAAATGTATATAAATAAGCAAAGAAATGATAAATTCAATTGAGAATTTAAACACAAAATTAAACTTTGTTTATTGCAAAGGGACTGTCTTCTACTAATTAAACCAGAGGTAGAATATCAAATAGGCCTTTCAGATAACTTAATGTCTTATAAACAAATAATTGCCACAGTAAAATAAGCACACACAACAGAAAGAAAATAATTATATTGTAACACTGTTATTAATTTGTCCCTTCATGTTATAGAATATGCTATTCTTAGGAGTCTTTCATTAGAGAAAAAAGCTTGCAGATACCTTCCTTTGAATCATACCCTTAGTTAGGAACTAAGGGGCAATGATTCATGATTTCTTTTGCCTGCGTTTTTTTATTTTCCAGTGAAAATAAATGTGATTTACATAATCACAATGAAACATTTCAAGAATAGTGGTGTAATTTATTTTAGATTATGTTACCAGGCTGCCAGAGTTTCAGGACACTACTAATATGTCTAGACAAGCAGCTGTTTGTGATGTTTTGGCTGACTGTCATTGTGTTCCCTCAGTTTTTATGGGCCAGGGTTCAGCAATGATGCAACTCAGTAATCAAGTGATTGGGGATATAAAAGACACAGAAAAATACTGCAGTGTTATGCTAAATCAGACTGAGGTAGAACGTGGCAAATCAACATTTTTCTGTTTTGTATGCTATTTCTTGGAGATGTCTGCCAGAAAGAAAGACTAGGTCACCAGTGGAAAGAACTGGAAAATGCTTCATTTATTTTTCCACAAAAATCATGTTTATGGAAAGACTTTTTTTTTTTTTTTTTTTTCAAGGATGTGTCATTTCTGTTGATGCTTCCCCAGCTGACAGGCATAACTGCATATCATGAGACACCTACTTCAGGACAGTCTCCTGGTTACCTCTGCTGTACCTTGTTCAAACTAGGGACTTTCAGGTGAGTGGCTTGGATGTTACAGAGAGTTCTCAATAATTCCTGTTGAGTTTTCCATTTTATGTAGTTATGACATATCTGCTGGCACAGAGAGACAGGACATATCCAGCATCTGCCTCTTGTGCCATTTGAACATGAGCATACTACAGCTATGTTGTGTGCTCTCCTGAGGAGTTGTGTTGGCCTTACGGGGTTGTACGAGGAATAAGCTTAAAGGGTTCCTTAAGGCAAGCCATCAGTATGCCTGGCCCTGATCAGTTCTCCATGGAGCAATGAATCCCCGAAGGGTGCTGTTGTCACATCCTGATTAAGCATCACCTGTGAGGTTCCCAGTTCCTTCAGCTCCTGAAGATGCCAGGGATTATATGGGGCCCTTGATCCCATGGTGTGTGTTCTAAGTTAAAAAGAGCAGTGCTAACTGAAAATTTATAGGCAAATGCTGTCACAGAAGACTGATCTGATAGTGTAATAAGGTATTGATATCTTTGGCTCTATTTTTCCAAGGAAAATCTCTGAAATGCTTTTTTCACTAGCTGTTAGGAAATAAAATCACATTTTACAAACTTATTTTGCTTTGGTAAAAAGCATCTCAACATAGTTATACTCCAGGGCAGATATCTTGTTGAAAGGCATCACTTTGATTCCTCTTAGAAAGCTCACATACACGTTTACTGATGATCATTCATTTTAAGATGATGTTACTATACTAAAATACTGTTTGAGATCACTGCTAAATTAGGAAAGCTTATGTAAGATACATGTGTATACATATACATGTGCACAGATTAGTGAAATACAACGACATGTGTGTATATAACAGCATACAACAATGATTTTTCTGTTGAATAAGGACAAGTAATGGAGACATCTTTAGAGCTACCTGCCATCACTACCAGCTGTGAATTATTGCTGGCCAGTGTGTTAATTTCATTATAGGTTTTTCTAGCAACTAAAAGGTTCTACCAGAGAACCATACAATAAGATAGGAAAGTACAGCTGGAACAGAGAGGTAATGCCTGGTAGGAGGGGAAATATTTCATTTGGAGTGCCTGCTAAACTAAATACTTTTTTGTTTTCAGTTCTGTGCAAAGTAGAATTTATGCTGTTTATGCTATTTTTGTACTGAAAAATGATGATTTAATAGACTGCCAGGGGGTTAAACTGGACAAGGTGTGATGTCTGAAATTAAGGAAAGAAAATGAAAAAATAGGTAATCTTGAGTTCAAGCTGCCAAATCTGTTTAATCTGATCTGATTTAGTCAGCAACCAATTTGGACACAATTCAACAAATGATTACTCACTCACATTGTTAGTACTACGTGTTAATACAACCCCTGAAGTAAAGCATGTAGCAGAGAAATTAGACTTCATTTGGCACACCATTTCTTTTTCAAATCATTCTTACTTTGATTTTCTATGTTAAAAAATTATGTATTGAGGTAGTGAAATCTTATCTTAACACAAGAACAAATCTTGCATTAGTTTCTTAAGGCCTGGATTCCTATGAAGTCTTCATACTTCTCTGCAGTATGAGTTTCTTCATGAGTTATCATGCAGACATCCTAATATCTCCACTATATTTTATAATATGTGCTGTCCTTTCACATTTTATGTATTGTTCTTTACAAGATACTATAAGTTGATTGTACCATTTCATTTTCAAGGTCTAATTACATCTTACTGCTTTTACTACTTCATACAGAAAATAAATTGTGATATCCACTTAGCTTCATTTTGTAATCCATAAAAATCACCATATTTAGTTATTTAGCAAGTTCATCCATTATATTCAATAACATTTTCCGTTACAAGTATATAGAAATATTTAGTTTTCACTTGCAAATATAGTAAGTTACTCTGTCCCTTTCAGAAAGTTTCTGGACTTGTAAAATTCATTCGGTTAGTTCTATAATAAATATTCTTTCTATGGGTTGTATCATTGCAAGGTTATCAAAATTGTACTGAGACATTTACTCTGAGATTTACACATTTTGCCCATCAAATTTACTGAGATTTACACATTTTGCCCATCAAATTTTGCTTCTTTCTATTTGATTAGCCTCTGTGTATAGGTGAGGGGATATGTAATGGGTCGGTATGGTGCAATAGATTCAACATGGTAAAATAAAACTTTCCTTATTATTACCGTCTGTGGTATATTTTCTATTAATCCATCCACATTTCAGTGAGTTAGTCAGATGTATTCTATGTAGTTGAAAAAGCTCTTATGAAGAAAGTGAAGAGGATTTGAACAATTGCTTCCCATGTTTTTGGAGGGCAAAAATGCTGGTGTGGGTGAAGGCACAAATTATACACTCCTGCTTCTGCCTCCTTGGTAGATGTGTCTTTAGCAGTATTTCATTGTCTCCTGCATGGCGAAAGTCAGGATGACAGTATGTGGAGCCTGACAAACACTGCTAAAGCAGAGCTTTGCTGCCAGTTTACTTTTGTGGTGGATCTTCATCATTTTCAAAACTAATAGGAATAAAGCACCATTTACCACACTGTTACTTAAGTATTTTTAAAAAGTTTTTGTATAATTTTCCAGTAACATAAAAACATAGGCTTTACTTGTGCACACAATATAGTAGAACTGGAAAAGATTTCTATTGCCTTGGAGGTGTTCAAAATTGGAATATACTATGTGTAGAAAAATATATGACTTATTATATGTAGAATAGAAATTCTGTATATTTCCATGGACGCTAAATTTAGTAGAAGGGTAATTGCTCTGAATATTACCTTTACAACATGGCATCCCCTGGCACCACAAAGCTAGATAAACTTTTTTGTTAGGCGGAGAAGAGGAGAGCTCAGAACCAACAAGTAAAGCCTAAACAGTAGATCGCCTCACCACTTTGTACTTTCATGTTTATTTCTTCTTCAGCTGTATGTAGATTTTTTTGGGAAGCTATTCGTCAGATCTGGGTTCTGTTTGTTCAGGCAACCCAGAGAAAACATCTTTATGTTCGGTTATGTTACCATTGCCACCTGGTCTACTTTGAGACAGGAGGTACATCTCAGCAGCAATAGTCAGATAGTGGGAAATGTGGTTAAGGCACCGAGAAAGCAAACCCCTCTTTCTTCAACAGCATGTGTTTTGTTGTTGCCCATGGCTGGTTTGCCTATAGGAAGCTCACCTTTGTGAATATTTGAGGCAGAGGATAAAATAAAATTATTTTTCAGGGGAAAAAAATAAAGGCTTTTTTATTCAATTTGTAATTTTCTTTGGTAAACAATTAATCAAGAGCATTTAGTCTGGGCTTAAGCAAGCCCAGTGTCCCATCAAAACATTTTTGAAAGAAATTTGTGACTGGCCCTCAGATATTGCCGCCTTGTTAATGACCATGTGTATTTTGCCTTAACAAGACAATTGATAATTGTTGTTACTGAAACTCCTTTTTTTTTTCCCTTCAAAAAGGAAAACTTGAATGTGAGTGGAAGGGCTTTTACAGGGTTACTCTCTTTTCAGCTGATGGTGAAACAGGTCAGCACTTCCACCAATTCCTTAACTGATGTTCCCATATTCTTTTCTGAGACTTTACGTAGAAAAATGTGTGCCTGTGCACCTTGCAGCTACCCACAGTGTGGGATGTGTTACATAGCCCCAAACTCTATTCATCTACAGAGTAGCATGCCCTGTATAAGCCCCAGAATTTTTACTTTACATTTTAATTTTACTTTATTTTTGAAGAAGCATTCTTAAACTCAAAGCTTTGTCATAAATATTTGTGAATAGGGCTATATAACATTTGTTGTATGGGAGAGAATGAGTTCCCCAAAAGTATCATTTTTGAAGGTTTGGAAGCATTTGAAAATTAAGATTAATTGCAGTGGATAATTTTGACAGAAAGACATGGAAGGAAAAGATGAGAACAAGGATATTTCAGAAAAGTCAAAATGCTTCATTGGAACATTTTTTCAGTGAGACTAACTTTTCAGAGAATCATTTTCTGTTAAAAGATCAACCTATATTTTTGGAAAAGTGCAAAGTAATTGATATGTTGATTTATGTAATGTTTTGTTTCTTGAAATAATTATATACCCTTTTTTGGCCCAAGTTTTACAAGTCACTCATCAGGGAAAAATAAAAGCTATTATTTGTTTGATTCACTTTGCAAATTTCATTTAATAATTTGTGAATTAGATGCTTTTTTGATTGCAAGTAGATCTGAGTAGAAGGTATTTTTAAATGCTCTGCTAACTTTTTAAAGAGAGAGTTTACAAAACATCATTTAAACAAACAAAAGAACATTTTTTCTATGTTAGTGTAGTGAAGTTAGCATAGGAACTCCTGGCTCTCATTTTGTGACTCCTTTCCAGATGTCCATTGGTAAGGTGTAATTAATAGATTATGAGTACAGATGAAGCTTGAAGAATTTTGGCTCCTTTCTATAGCCTATAGATCAATAAAGCTGCAATCGATTAATTGATTTACAGGGAATCTTACTACTGTTGAGATTAATATGTCTGCTCTTCTGTAGTTAGAAAATAAACAATTAAGATGTGGGTTGAAAAGACTGGGGAATTAGTTCAGTAAGCGATTAATTAGCTTGTTTGCTCCAGTTTATTTCTGATCAAACAGAAGATGCTGAAAGGGTGTAAAATAAAGCCCTTAATATACTCTAAGGGCCTGTTTCTGTCCCCGTCGACATTAAAGGCAAGTTCCCACTGCTGTGACTGATGCCATAATTGCCTGGCTTGACATTGATGGGTTCTTGTTTCTGAAATCCAGTACCTTTGCTCTAGAAAGGATGTTGGGAGGATGTTAGTTTTCTATGTAGTGATCACATGAAAAGTAAATAGAAAATTAAAAAGCTGGAAGAAGAAAATACTGCAGCAAAGAGATGAGGGCTATGAAACCACCCTATTACAAGTGAGAATGTACAGGCACACTGGTTGCTATGTGCCCGCTTTCGCTTTTGGGAACGCGTTTACATTTCACAGGTTTGCTGCTTTAACTTTCCTTGCTGGGACTCCTAGAATTTCACCTGACTGTTTTA